CACATTAAGCGCGGGAGGCTTCCGAAGCCTCTTCTTGGCCTTTGCCGAGCACCTGCTGATGCACCCAGGTGCAGCGGCCTTTGTCGGCGGAAACCATTCCATTTATATACATAGTCCGAATACCACTCTCCGTGTAATCCCAACGCCTTAGATTAGATCAAATTAACGATTGTTCCTAGATTAGACGAGATAAAGACTCTATCTACGCCCGACATCGCCGGAACCCCCTGAGCTCCCCTGAGTAGTGTCCCACCCCGCCCCGGGGCTATTAACCCCCGCCCTCCCGCCCTCCCGCCCAGACTCCGCCCCGGCTAAGCCCCTCCGGTGAATTCCGGCCCTGCCCCCTGTCCCCTTTTCCCACTGTCCTGCCCTTTCCCGCCCTTGTCCCCTCCCCGCCCTTGTTCCCTCCCCGCCCTTGTCCCTTCCCTCGCCCTTGTCCCCTCCCCGCCGCAAGCAACAGACACCACCATTAAGCGCTGCATCACGGTAGTATAGTCTTAGAATAAGCTATTAGTGTACGGGGTTCCTAAAGAACTATTACCTTATAAGGTGATCAGTGTTCCGTAGCACGTGTATTCCATACCGCGTGTTCCCGCATGCCGGATGATGACGGAACTTAGATTACCCGAAAACCAAAGCTGCCAAACTTCCGCTGACGTGGCCTTGGCCAAAAATTTCACTAAGTCCGCTGCCCTATCATTGAGACCTTATATTTTACTTATGAAAAGTACTAATCAACACTTGTCACGCATATACATAGTGAAACCAACTATTATTCTGATTCTCAGTAGGGTAGTATAGTTATAGTAGCTCTAGATATTAAACATGCTCTAATACAATAACAATTACTCATTGAGAAGATCAGTAAACGACTTAGAGGAAGAGAAAGTGTAAAGCCCGGAGCCTGAAGAATCATACGACGTGGAATCGGGAGCGTAATCTACGCTAAATGAGGTAGTATGCTCGGTACCAAACGCCGGGTTTGTCACGAAGCCGGAATGATCGGATGATTGGAAATCATACGACAACGCCGAGGCGTCGAGGTGTTCCGGGAACGGCGGCGGCAGCAGCAATGATGGTGATGGCAAGATGGTTGGCGTTGTCAAGTGCAGAGTGGGCGTCGGCGGCATGGAGTCGAGCGCCCCGGTAGAGGCAGGTGGAGTGGGGTGGTCTGTCTTCGACCGTTTCCTCTTGCCTGTGGTCGCGTTGTTTGATGGCCGCTCCGCAAGAACGCGCTTGTGTGCGTCGGCCTTGCGTCTCTCCCATTCCTCCGGCTCGAGCACCCGCCAGAAGCACTCACCCTGCGTGATGGCAGCCTCGATCTCAGTCAACATGGGGATGGTGGAGACGTTGCTCGGATTCTTGACAGCGCCGCCCGGAAAGCCATGGAGCTCAACGCCGTACTCGATGACCCACTTCTCGTAATTAGCCCACTCCATGAAGGTTGGAAGCTCCTCGTATACGACACTGCGTGCCGTCCTCAGGATATTGCCTAGAATATATTTAGTTAATTTTATATGAAGAGGAGAGCTGAAGTTAGTACTCACGAAGCTTCTGTAATATCATCTCTCGAATTGACTTCCTCAAGACGCCGACGCGGCGGTCCCCGGTGTAGCGAGTCACTCCGGTGATACCACCGGTGACGTACGCGTCGAGGCGCATGGCCAGCTCGTGCGGATTGACTTTGAATAGATACATCAAGGCGGCCTCGACGCGCGGGGAGGCAAAACTACGGGGCCTGTACTGGTCGGTAACTTTGTCGCGAGTCACAAGGTAGAGGACAGCGCAGCCGGTGCTCTGGGTGATCTCAGCAACCTAAAAGATAAATGAGTACATGAACAAAAAGGAGAAGGGATGACACGTACGCAAGGGTCGATCTTCCGGGTGAACGTAGTTTCGATGGCGTTTGCTACATGCTCAGCGTTGACAACTTTAACCTTCTTCTTGGCCCCTTCTTGGTTTTGCCGGGAGCGCCTGCTCCACTCCTGTTTCTCCTCGTCCGAAAGGGCATGCCAAGCTTGAGCCGCCGACTGGGACACACTTGTCATTGCCCCAGCTCCGGCTGGGAGGGTCTCTACGAAGTCTCAATATCAGTCCATGTGAGCTTGCGGGAGGTATTATTTACTTACCTCCGTTAGCAACCTGTGTCGCATACGTGTGCGACAGAAACGCGCCGAAGCCATTCGGTTTGGTCTCGGTGCGAGGAACGTTGCCAGCCCCAAGGTAGACCTGAGTCGAGACCCACTCGGGAGTCCTATCCGCAGTGAGTGGTAGCTCGAGTGATGAACCAGAGGTACTCACCGCCCGTAGTCATTGCATATGCCCGCAATACCTTGCAGAATGATGCCGCGGAGACTTTGAATGGCTTGCATGAGCTGTTGGTACCGTTGGTAGCCTTCTTGAATCTGTTCCGTTGTTCGTTTGGGCCGTGAGGAGGCACCGGTCGATGATTCCGCCATTACTGAGTGTCAGAAGTGTAGCTTAGACAAAGAAGAAAAAAGCGTGACAACAGAGACCGGACAATGAAAAAAGAAAACCGATTTATATTGCGGCGAGCTCAGTTGGACAATTGGCGATGTGGAAATATTATAAACGAGTACGTAAATGAGCTAAGCGTCACTGTGCATACCCAATCAGAACATAGAAAAGACATACGAGAGCTATGACTTACCCTTCCTGCTTCTGCGCATGCCGGATGATACGGTACAGCTCCGCCGCCTTCTGGAAGCGCATACCAGCCTCCATAAAGAGAGCCACCCAAAGGTGTCTCTTGAACTTCATGGCGCCCGCGACAGACGCTTGGGCGTCGGCACCAAGCCCGAGACCGGATATGAAGTCTGCAGCCCTGGCCAGAAGACCGTCGCCGGTCGCAGCCGATGAGGTGGAGACAGGGGCTTCTACCGCCTTCTTGCCCTTCCATGTGGCAGACCGATGACGAGGGGATGGGGTAGGCGATGGTGGCGGTGAGGGAGATGCAGTGGAAGTCGGAATGGTGCTAGCACGGTAAGATGGCGCATAGACAGGCGTGGACGGAAGAGGGGTGAGTGGTTCTACATCCGAATCTGTGAAATACGAGTCCTCGTTGGTCTCGACAACAGTGGTGATGGGCGGAGGGCGTGGCTGCAAATGACGGCGAGATGAAGTCGGAGTGACGGGTGCAGGAATGACGGGCGCAGGAGTGACAGCCGAAGGAGCTGGAGATGGCGAGAGCTGAAGCCGTAATCGAGTCTGGGCAGGTTGAGATGTTGGACGCCCTTGGATGCGGGAAGCAGGTGGGGTTGAGGTCGACGCACGAGGGGGAACTGCCTTGGGGCCGGATGCCGAAGTTGAGGTTGAGAGACTTGATACTGATGACAGGGTGGTAGAGGTGGTGGACGAGGCAGAGATGGAGACGTTGCGAGCAGAGGAAGACGCAACGAGGCGCGGAGGAGCGGAGGAGGGTGGTGGTACAATTGGAGCATCCGATCGTGACTTGGGTGGAGCTGGCTGCGAGGACGAGGGGGCGGGGGGAGTAGTAGATAACTCGGGCATTTGAGCACGACCGTCAACGACGACATACCCGGTGCCAGGCGTTACAGAGCGAAGTCTTTGGCCATAAGACCTGATGTGCGCCTCTGCAATCTCCTTCCGAAAGATGTCCTCGAGCCGCTTGATGGTAGTCTGAATGCTCGGCTTGATGTCTGCGTGGTAGCTAGTGAAGGTGTTGATATCAATGCGCGATGGATTGAAGGTAGTGGAAGGATCCCAATCTGGGCGAACAGCGAAAGCGACGAAGAGTCCATCAGACATCCGCGACATGGCGGACACCTGATGAGGTATCAGGCTGAGAGACTGTATCAGAACGAGAAACGTACCGAATCATGCAAGTCCAACACGAAATCCGTCCACACTGCGTATCTGTCTTGGGGGTTTTCGCAGAACGCGCGGTGAAGGTTGGAACGCGAGTTGATATCATTGGGACTGCTGTGTCTCTCCGCAAAACCGATGCGGCGGCGATAACACTCGCATCGGATATCAGCGGCTTTGGGGCGCTGACCTTGGTCTTCAATCCATTGTCGGATTGCAGCTGGAGCGCAAGGGTTGATTTGGTTGGCTTGCGAAGGTTGAGACATTGGGGGCGTCAAGAAGGTTAGGGCAGCAGTGAGTACTTGAGCTTGAGTCCGAGCCTTTTGTGAAGATCAGCCATGCCGCGTCGTGCATGCAGACGCTTGCACATTGCATCACACGCGGTGATGCACACTGCTGATGCATCACTGCATCACTTCTAAAGTCTCAATTCGGCACTGTCCATCATGTATAGAACCTAAAAATGAGATTCATGCGTTCGTAGATATAATTATTACGCGACTAATCTAAGTTCTCAACAAAAGTAGAAAGATGGTGCATCGACTCGCGGACGTTGTCGTCATCTAAATCAATATCCAAGTAAGTGTCCTTCCGAGAATCATCTACATGCTCATCGCTTGCCATCGCCCCGCTGTACCCCGGGAGTCGCTCAAGCTCATCCAAACGAGCAAGATGAACTTTATTTGCACGAACGCGGGCAGCATACAGCTGCGACAACGCTGCTGCGAGTGCAGGGTTGCTCTCCTTGAGTCGGTTCGTGTGCCGTTCGATGTCCGCGTTTTCCTTGGCTGCCCACGTCCGAAGACAGCGTGCTTCAACGTTGAGGCGCGTGATCTCCTCGTGTGCACGCTTAGTCTTGAAATACTTCGTGGCTACATCCCGATTGATCGGCTTGGCCCATGCCTGTTCGCGAATATCTGCCTGAAAGTAGGAGTGCTTCAGTATCTCAAGCTCCGATAAGTAAGTATATTGAACAAGGTCTTGCCACCGGATCTGAGCCGCCGGTGGATCCATCTTAGCGGCAAGACGGTTGTAGGTGTTTAGAGCCGTGCGGACGGCAGCCGAACGACGCTCAATGGCCTTGCCAATCGAACCCTGTAGCTTGTATCCTGTTCTCGACGTGACTAAGGGAGAGTGCAACATTGAATGTGAAACTCACCGGTGTCCCCTGCCCAAGCCTTTGAAAGCTCCTGTAGACGCTGTACTACAAGGAGCTGAAGACGGTCCGAAGCACGATAGAAGTCTTGATGTTGAAGATAGGTCGCAGCGGTGCAATACTCTTCTGATGATTTAGACCACGACTGAGCGATGCCAAGCCGGGATTCGAGGTTGACGACGTTGCGATGGCGGACAAGATACTCCTCGGATGCGATGCGTTGCGCATTCTTGATTGCAAGGGTCTCGCTGGTACGTGTTTCGTGGTCGGCGTTGCTGGTGTGTCGGTAAGGCTGTGAAGATGCTTTTTGCCACTCGACGCTAGAAGGATTGACCATCAACATAATTTGTGCAGGAAGGGAAAACTTACTCGGCCTTGTCGCGAGCTTCAAGAGCTCGAATGTACTCGGCGGCAACTTTGCGCTCGTCCGGTACCTCCTTGAGGTTCGCCAGGAACGAGCGCTCAAGGTCCGGCCACGTGTCGATCTCCGCAGTCGTAATTGATAGCCGCTGACATAACGCTTGGACTTGAGGGGCGTTGTCGGCAATAAGCTTGAGTGCTTGCTTGTATTTCCTGTACAAGAAGGCACCTATGAAGAGTGTTAGTGACTGGCGACAAAGGAATGAACTGCTTACTGAGCTCAGAATAGCGGTCGTCATCCCATTGCTGGAAGAATAAGTCGAGAGTTTGCATGTAGTGGAATGCCGATGCGTATCGGATGAGACGGGAGGTATTGTTCGAAGACGAGAAAACACGTTCCATCTGCTCGAGGTCCGAGAGACCGGATCCGGGGATATAGAGGGGGTGGAAATTAAGTTGGCAAAGTCGATTGTGAGCGTACCCGTGGAAAGCATTCACACAGATCATGAGATTCTGTGCGCGTGCCTTATCGCCCAGGAGGCGGCTGGATGCCACGGTTTTGCTGAACGCACAGCCCGTGTCTTGTCCAAGGCCGACGTCGTTCCCGTGCACGTCCAAGAGGTACGCAACGGTCGCCAGGCCGTACTTGGCACTAGGAAAGAGTTAACAAGCAGAAGAAAGGGAAAAGAGATTGACTCACAGCTCTCCACTCCGTACCATCTCACAAACTTTTTGCATGATGCCATGCCGGCATGCAGATGCAAACATACCCGTATTCTCGTATATGTCGAGAGCCCTCTTACTCCCATCGGGCCTGCTGGCGCGGAAGTCTGATGTGCAGCGACCCGGCCGGTTGGTAGCGACGTCGTCATTGGGGTCGTAATCGTGATCAATTCGCGGGCCTCGGGCTGAGCTGCGGACTTCGTCCTTGTACGTATCGACGTCTTCACGCAAAATGAAGTAATCGCTGTTGAAGACCCTTCGATCGGCGGAGCCGGCAGATTCCATCCTGCGTGCTGAGTTATTGCCGTCCGAAGCGAATTGCACCGCGGGGTATAGCGGAACTTCACCATTGAGCTGCAAAATAGACGTTAGGGTGCACATCGGTAAAGGTAGACAATGTACCTTGTAATGACAGCATGGGCAACTGTGTAGCGAGCGCCAATTTGGGATATCCCGGCCCATCTCGGACTGTAGGCGATGGTGGACTGTACGAAGAAGATGCAAATAGACGTCAAAGGTGCTCGAAAAAGAATCCCGCAAGAAAGAAGAGTAGTTGATCTGTGATTGGTCAGCAGAGGTTATGTACGATAGGTAGAGCTTGCACTTACGTTGTTTAGGTCACATAGCATCTGAACGAATGGTTGGATGCCAAGCCGGGAGTGTCGTCGGTGGAGGCGGTGGTATACCTCTAGAGTATGGAGGTCGATGGCGGTCGCGGGGGCTTCGGGGGCGTTACCCAGCAAGCCGTAGCGGAGGAGCACGACGTTCGCGAGCTCATCCTTCCGTTGCACCACTGTCGAACTGACGGATTCTAAAAATATCAAAAATAGTGTCTAGAACGCGAACTAACAGTACTCACTGTTGATCGACAAGACACGAATTGCGAAGGCATGCATTGACGCGTCCTCGTCGAGCGATGGTTGGTCCCGAGAGCCCGATATCCAGTGGAGGTATTGTTGAACGAGGGCATCATGCTGACGGTTCCACTCCCGATCTGCGTGTTCGTGCCTTTCGTAGCGAGTTCGGGGGCGTTTGTGAGCGCGACGAGCATCAATACTGTACGCAGGTTAGCAGTAATCAGAAGATAGAAGGCAAGTGACGCACCTCATGAAAGACCCTTCGAGTGTAGCCTGAATTCCCTCGTCTATCTCCCCGGCACCGTGTATATAACCGTCCTCATCAACGTCTGAAATGTCTGCGATGTAGGCGTCCTCGTCGCCGAAGCTTAGAGAGCCTTCGGCTTCGAAGCCTTCGTCAGGCGGCGCCCCTGACGCGGTCGCAACATCGTTGAAGGCGGCACGGCTTGTCGTGGTCATATCTATAACTTACGTTTGTTAGTGTTCTTGTAGGCAATGAAAAGTGTACCATGGAGAGCCTTTTGACGAGCCTCTCGGGCGTTCTCTGCCTCCTGTCGAATCGCCCCCACTGACTTCACAATACCACTCATGGTAGCAGGACGTATTGGCCCCGAAAGGCTGGCCCGTAGGTCATCCAGCCCTCCTTCAAGGCGAATGGACTTGACACCACGCTTCATGGTCTTGAAGACTGGACAGAGAGTGAGGGCGGGAAGAGAGAGGAGGGGAAACCAAGCTAAGTTACCTATATAGCACGCCGTGAGCAACGTGGCAGCTGACGGACATGGTACCCACGTGTTCTTGCCTCATGCGCGTCGCTTATAGACTCTGGCGGGAGCGGTGTGCACTGGCGGCTGTTGCTTGCGGCGGGGAGGGGACAAGGGCGAGGGAAGGGACAAGGGCGGGGAGGGAACAAGGGCGGGGAGGGAACAAGGGCGGGGAGGGGACAAGGGCGGGAAAGGGCGGGACAGTGGGAAAAGGGGACAGGGGGCAGGGCCGGAATTCACCGGAGGGGCTTAGCCAGGGCGGAGTCTGGGCGGGAGGGCGGGAGGGCGGGGGTTAATAGCCCCGGGGCGGGGTGGGACACTACTCAGGGGAGCTCAGGGGGTTCCGGCGATGTCGGGCGTAGATAGAGTCTTTATCTCGTCTAATCTAGGAACAATCGTTAATTTGATCTAATCTAAGGCGTTGGGATTACACGGAGAGTGGTATTCGGACTATGTATATAAATGGAATGGTTTCCGCCGACAAAGGCCGCTGCACCTGGGTGCATCAGCAGGTGCTCGGCAAAGGCCAAG